CTATAAAGGATGTAGCCCGTCAGGGTTCGAACCCGTGTCTGTTGATTAATGGTTGAATGTGTTCACCATTCACCCAAATGGGGGAGTCTGTTTTTTTTTTTTTTCCCTATGGACTGTCTGTTTTCTTAGCAACTTCAAGACCTTTTATATTTGTTTTGTGTTTCTACGTTCCTTGGTTGAGTGACTGATAGCGAAAAGAAACGGAGTGAGTTCTCGAGTGTTTGTTCTTCGCGGGCGAATTGAAGTGACGTAGACTACCACTCCATGCATCAGGCCCTTTTTTGACAAACCCAAACTTTTTTTCTTGCTCCTTTTTTTTCTTTCTAAATGGCCACTACCTTTCTCACAAATGGCCACTACCTTTTTTTTGGAGTAGGCTACTTCAACAAATTCGCATCTCAGCCTGAAAGGTAGTGAACCTGCTTTAGAGTGCTGACAAATGATAGAACTCATGTCGTTTTTTGTTTTCTGTTTTTTTTTTTTTCTGGGTGCACTGGCGAGGAAACGAACCCGGGTCTGCACTGTGGCAAGCTGTATATTACTTCACCAATTTGAGGTCACCGGCTGTACCAACTGAGCCTGAGGCACCTGTGTTGCAACAGATTCACACACGAGTTCTTGAATCTCTATTGTATGTGATGGGGAAGAGGGCTGGGAGTGGGGCCCCCCGGCTTGTACACCCATACCTTAGAAAAGCAAAAAGAAAACCAACGGAATTTATTATCTTGTCGTGCTTGAGGCATCCGGCTGTTACGATCGAGGTCACCGGTTCGATTCCGTCGTGTTGGCCGTAACAGCTTGATGCACTTTGCCAGTTGTATGCTCAGAGCCAACACAGCGGAATCAAACCGGTGACCTCGGCCGTAAGGCCTTTACCACTGACCCAGTGTTCAAAAGTCAAGGCATACTCTTTTTGACATTTAGCACACGCCAGCACGGTTGCAGCTTGGCAGAGCCTTTTTTGTTATTATTTTATAATAAAGGGCGATGGGCTTAGGATAGACAGAAGAAAGGTTAGGATTCACCTAGAGTTTGCGTTAGCTGGTTAGAGTCCGATGATGATATCCTTGGGCAAAGCTTAGTGTTTTGGGATAGCTTATGCAAGCTGTCTAGATTTCTATGTACCTTGGAACCATGTGTATCAACCTTTTTTTTCTTTTTTTTTCTTTGTTCAGAATGTGACAATGTGTGTCATTTTTTGTTTTGTTTTTCAAAGCATCCGTAATACCATATGGTTGTCAAATCACATGATCAGCTTCAGCATAGGTTATGGTGGGATTACTGTAGAAGAGTAGGGTAGTTGGGAGACCTTGTGGATGTTGTTGGCCTGATTTTTTATTGCTGGCGTGATTACCTAGGATGAACATTTCTGCAGTCCGAATCTGAGTCCGGGATCCGGAGTTGCCGGATCCGTAACCCGGGCTGCTGTTCTTGTAAAGGGACGCGGTGCCTGCTTCCCAGTTTTGTATAAGAAAATGAAGACCAAAAAAAAAAAAAAAATCTTCAAAGGTCCAGTGACCTGTTCAATGGACCTGACGTGGTTCAAGATCATGCTCAAGCAGTCCAAAACCTGAAAGCTTTGGCTCTCAATTCAGATTGGACATCCCCATCCCTCCCTCTCCAATTCTTCTTCCCTCCTCTCTCCTCTCCTCGCCTCTCCCCTCGGCTTGCCCCCTCTCCTCACCGTTCTCGCACCTGCTCCGCAAACACACACGCCGCCACTTTGAGGACAAGATGTTGTGGTTCCACAGGGTCACACCTGGATCGGTCTTTCCTAGTCTGCGGGGATGCCCACTCAACGAAGGCAATACGTGCTCCTCGAGTTGTTTTTCTGTGTCAGCGGGGGGCTCAATGAAGGCGATACCTGCTCCTCTGTTTGTTTTTCTGTCACTCTGTTGTGCTGGCGAGTATACAGGATCGGTTGGGGTTCCCCTTTTCCCTGTCTTCCCCCCCGCTTTCCTCCTCTTCCCCGTTTGGAACTGCCGATGCACACTAATGAGCGCCACTGACAGAACAGATATACAAGGTGCGAGTGCGCCGAATGCCAAACAAACAGGCGTGTACACACAGACGTGGAAGTTAGTGCACCATAATCGTTTTTTATATCATCATAATCATTTTAAATTATCACACGGTAAAACTGCTTCAAAATTCAATATGATATCATTGATATGATATGATATGATATCCATACATCCAGGTTGAGAAAGGGGTTGCTCTGGTGATTGTGTTTGAAACGCACCCGCACACACGTATGCTCACACTCGCTCACGCATGGTGCATATTCTTTGAGAATGCTGTTAAGGATTTGTTTCTCAAGTTCCTTGTTCCCTTTCCGTTGATCTGCTTTGCGGCATTTTCTGCAGATTTCCAAAATACAGGAGGAGATGCAGTTGCTTAGGGAGCAGCCTCATCATCATCAACACCTGCACCAGCATCAGCATCATCATCATGAGGAGCAGCTCCACCACCTCCACCAAGAACCTGAGCATCACTCGCCGATTCATGAGGAGAGGCGGTGGCTTTGACATTCTACCCTCTTTCACCATGGCTGCGAACATGCGATGATACTAACTGGTGATCCGGTTCTCCGCCTTTTGGCATTCTCCGCGTTGGCATCCTGGGCTTAGCTCGAAAGGTCATCCTTGGGTGTCCGGAAGGCCTTGACTAGGTCCTCCTTCTGCCTCTGTCGACGATGCCATTCATCTGAATCGATCCATAGCTAAGGTATGTTTGTTATGCCCCTCTTTCACAGCTACTGGCCAGCGTTGCTTAACACGGAATGAAGAATGCTTTGAATGAGTGGGCTCAGCAACATGCGCCGGAATGCGGAGTTATCTTCTGTTGCTGAGAACATCCTGATTGCTTGTGTGCTATAACTATCGGATACCAAATGCATTGGCATCAGTGGTTGATTGGTCATGGGATGGAGCAAGCACAAGGAGGGGAGGATGAAGAATGAGAGAGATGATGTGTGCATATATGACTGAGAATACGGAATAGCCAGTTTTTGGTAGGGAGGTATAACAAAGGAGTGCAGGGACAGTCAGGGAGGACCCCCCCCCCCCCCCCACACCCCCACAACCCCCAACCACCACCACCCCCAACCACAACAACCAAACCAGCTCTACCACTACTTGAAGGCCATGAAACTACACAGCTGAACTCATATGTTGATCAGGGTACTAGGGTGGTTGACAGGTGATTCTGATTAGCCCAGGCAGTTCGTTCTGTTGGGGGGAAAAGTTTCACTCCGTGGAGGACGGTGGTGATTTTCGTTCGTGCATGTGTGCACGTAGTGATGTAATGCATGTGTGCCTGAGGGGGTGGCACACAGAGAAATAGGGGCGAAGGTGGATAGAGGGGCAAGAAGAGTGTGTGTCAGACACACACAGACACAGAGCGAGAGAGAGAGAGAGAGAGAGAGAGAGAGAGAGAGAGAGAGAGAGAGAGAGAGAGGGAGAGAGAGAGAGGGCGAGTGCGTGCGCCGCACATGTTTGTGTGTTTGTAGAATTGTGTCAAATTGTCAATCAATCGATTGTTTATTGTATAGAGCCGCGCCTGATGATGATAAACCTGGCTCGACGTTATTGTGCGTTCATTGAGAACTGTTGTGTTATTACCATCAAATTTGAAAGGGGGAGGGGAATCGCTAGAGGCAAGGAGGACATTTATCCCAGAGTAGAGTAGAGAATTAGATGGAATTCTAAGAAGGCAGGTGAAACTTTGACACATTGAGGGAGTTTAAATATGTTGTGTTTGGGCGGAGAAGTGCTATGGATGTCTGGGTCAGGAGGCGTGATGTTGGCGCAAAGGGTTTACGGAGGAGGTGGGGAGGCCTTTGTGGGCCGACATCGTTGCCAAAGTCTCAGGGTGTGCTGACACTAGTGCTATGTTGAATGTGTCTGACCTCATTTACGGCCGAACATGTATGCATCTGGCCGCATTTCTGTCCAGAAACAAGTGAAAAAGTTCTAGTGCAAGTATGCCCTCGCTATTGTTGTGGAGTTTGCAGGAGTCCCGGCTGACATTTCCGAAGCCGGAGTTCTCTAGGAAATTACCACTGCCTCGCCTAGAAGTTTCTCTGAAGTTACACGGTCATCTTGGTACTGGATGTCAGAAGCTGTAGAGGAGTGATTTCCCCAGATGGCCATGGCAATGTGTTATAGTTACACACTTGTCAAAGCGAAGAGAGGAAGGAAGTGGTGGGGGACCGCGGTAGAGAGAGGAGGGGGTTCTCGCTCACCTCCAGGACCCTGGCATCTCCTCTTTTGAGGATTGTTGGACACGAACTTGGCATATTCGATTGGCTTTCAATTTTGTGTTTCACATAATGCTGTGTTGGTTTACTTTCAGTCAATTCGGGGTTCGGACTCCGATTCGTATTTACGTGTTTGCGACATGACCCAATTTATGTTTGCCTTAGCAGACTAAGGTAGACCGTTTTGCAACAGGAAGTGTTCTGGTTCTCGTTTGTCTCACTCTTCACATTTTTCAGTGTTTCGAGACGGATTATAGAAAGTGGATCGCGCGTTTTTCATATATGATCAACCTGTATTTGCCTTCCGGTTGACAAGTAGAGAGTAGATGAATGACTATCTTCTATTGCCATCAGCCTTCAGGGGTATTGCTAGCATGCTAGTTATACGCTTTGTGAAATATTCGCAGAGAGACAGACAGGTTGTGGACTGTCGGCTGGTATACATGTCTTTCCCGGATGCTCTCTCTCTCTCTGTGCACCACTCTCCCCCGCCTCTCTCTCTCTCTCTCTCTCTCTCTCTCTCTCTCTCTCTCTCTCTCTCTCTCTCTCCT